CAGCCCATCAACGGATGCGAGCAGGGACGAAGAAACGCACAAACTCCAGCACCGAGTCAAGAGCACACACCGCCTTTTGGGGGGATCCTTCGCCCCGCGTTGCTAAAGGACAGGAAAACAAAGCCGCCCGCGCTGCAGCGTTAGTAGATTTACAGAACAGAAGAGACGGGCACCCAAAGTGGTCCGCTCTCTCTCTCTTGGGAAACCTCTCTCTCTCTCTCTCTCTCCCTCTCTCAAGTCCTTGGATTGGTTGTATTGTGCTGGTCTCTCTTGCAGCCGATGCGCTTTGTGTGTTGCATCTCAAAGAGAGAGAGAGAGGTGACAAATACCCCAGACACCCGAGACAGAGAGAAGGAAGGAAAGCAGCGCCAGGCAGTCCATCCCTCCCCCGCCACACAACAACGAGAATGCTACTGGACACATGCACAGGCCCGGTCGGCTCGGGTCGCCCCCCCCCACCACCACCACCACTACCACCACCACCACACCGCACCGCACCGCCCGCCCCCCTCCCAACCAAAAAACTTCTATATCGGTATGCTGTCCTCCCTCCTACGCCCGCACGTACCCGAGAATCTAAACCCGCCCTTCCCTCCCAAAATCTACCCCCAAGCTCGTTTTCCGATTTCCACCATTCATTGGATCTCCGCGCTCTTGCCTGCCACCGACCGGAACAAGACGGCAGGATTGCCGTCTTTGCTCTTCTCCTCGCGACACGACACGGCCCTCTACGTTAGTCAGTAATTGGCGGCGCGTCTAGACAATAAAATTCGACCCGACACCCCCGTGTGGCTGCCCGGCACGACGTTGGTCAGCGAGAAAGCAGGGAAAGCGTTTGCTCGTTCGCCTCGCCCGCCTTCGCTTTGAATTTCATCACCCCAAAAGCAAAAGCTAACCTCGGCGTACAGTAGTCGCTTGCACAGATGGACAGAACATCCACCAACAGCCCAAAAACAAAAGTCCGTGTGCAACGCATACCTCTTTTCCCTCCTGGCACTTGAAGAATTCCAAGCAAGACACCTACCCCCCAAAAAAGAACTCTTACACTCCGTGCAGGCCAGATTTGTGCCCTCGAACGTCGTGCAACCCTAAAAGCCCAATTGAATCATCACCCTCGCAGTGAAACGTCCACTAGCGGGGGAGGGTAAACAACCATATTGATCGCTGACGATGCTTTGGTAGAGCACTGTTCGCTCGGGTCCGCTTGCTCCGCGAAAAATAGGAGAGGGGGTCACGGTGTTTGAAATACCGTTAACAGGGGGGGGGGGAGGGGGGTGACGGATGGCGCTGCAGTCGGTCATCTCTATCGTCTTCCAGGGCTCTTCAGATCAACGGCCTGGTCGGAGAATGCGGCGGGAGTTCGAAGTCAACGTGGGAAAAAACGGCCGGAAAGGCGAAACGGGGGAAGAGGGTATGAGCGTGAAGGGAGTGATGACCGTTGACTTGATGTTTTTTGTTCTCGGGGGGAGGTATGAGCGTGAGGGGGGGGAGTGACGGACGTTGAATGATTATTGTCATTCTGACTGAATCCCCGACCCAATCGGGTCCTGCTTCTCGATATACAGGACGTAGCACGTACATCGTTGGTACCAACTCCGCTGGTACCGTCGAGCTGATCATGCACTTCCAGTCATGAAGAATCCTTCAGTCACCGAGAAAGCCGCTCCAATCTTTGTGGACTGGTGACACTTACAAAGGAAGCTATCGGCGGCACACGATTCCTCCGCATCATGAAATCCCCTATTGATCGCCAAGAGCTCCCGCAAAAAACGCTACAGTAAGGTCAACAACATCCTTATCGTCAACGCACCTCAACAAGCGCCATGGGGAAGTCGTCGTGTTCATGACCCTTAACATAACGAGCCCCCCGACACCCTTCTCACCGCTTCAGCGGGCGCACTGCCGCTCAAACGACCACCCCAACGCAAGCAACATGACCGGCTGATTGGACTAACCTACACGTCCCTTCTTGCGGTCGGGCTCGTGCGCCTCCTTCTTCTGTCGCCGTCTCGTCTGCGCCTTCATCGTCGTCAACGCCATCCGATCCCATCCGACGCACACGCCGCCACAGTCGTCGTTCGATCCGTCCGTCCATTTCGATTGAGTCACCAACGCGACGCCAAAAACGCAGCGCGGTGCCAAACATCATAGGAGCATTCGGGGACAGGTGTGAGCGGGCGGCAAAGGCGCAGGCGGGCACCTCACCCGACGAATTTCGGACACAGCCTTGGTGGAACGGAGTGATGCGAGCAGCAACAAGGCCGTCAGCTCCCTACGTTGGCGTTCGTGCACGGGGGCGTGGCATCTCAAAGAGAGACAGACAGACAGACAGACATGGTGCGACAAGACTCACCTCCTGCTTGACGTGGGAGCAGTACGGGTCGACGAGCCCCCTCACGTGGGCCGCCACGTTGTTAGCCAGGTCGTACCTCTGAAGGCGCTGAAGAATGCAAGGAAGCAAAAAGTGGCAGTAGCGGCGGTAAAACAACAACAACAGCAACAACAGCGGCAGCAGTAGCAGCAGCAGCAACGACAAGGACGGCGAGGGTGAGCCGGAAGGTCATGACAAGACCCCCAACACGGCGGCGGCAGCCACCAAAACGGTATATCCACCACCTGCCCAACAGCAGCAGTTGCACGGGCAAACCAAAGACGAGCGCCCACGGTCCCCCGTCCTCGTCGAGAAAACGTGACCGACCCGACCAACAGCAAGAAGAACGCGTTTCGTTTTCCACTTTTCCGCTTCTGCAAGAGGCATCCCAGCAGACTACTTGACTCGATCGAAATCACACCCGCTCCCCGCCAACGAGAACGACACGGAGCCGGCACAGCACCCGGTCCGGTCGCGCCTTCAACGGCCGGAGAGGTAAATGGTCAGCAAGACCGCCCATCGCGATGACAACGACACATCCCAAGCCAAAGCAGGACAGCTAACTAACTAACTTTCCCCGCAATACCGTTGCGATGACGACGCATCCCAAAGTCGAGAAAGGAAGAGCGGGTTCAACTTCCCCGCAAACGCCACCCCCTATGCACCACACCAACGACAACACACTGCGCCACACCTGAGCCGTCGACTTGGCCTGGTAGCCCCGCGGTGGGCCGGCAGTGCCGTTGCCTCTTGCGTGGCCGCCGTACCCCCCGCCACCGTGCCAGCCGCCGCCGACCCCAACCAGGACTCCCGCGCCACCGCGGACGTCGGAGACCGACGACGGAGGGGCCAACCCGCTCGCTCCAGTCCCGGCCGGAGCAGAGTGAGGTCTGCAAGAACGCCGGTAGGACAAGAAAACACATTTTCGATAGGATCAGCTCTCTTTCGTGGTACTTGCTTGATATGTAGCATCACCACTTTCATTTCGAGTGTGTGTGGTCAGCATCAAGCACTCTGGCCTTGTGCGCGTGTGTGTGGTTTGGACACCTACGTGTGTCTTATCCCCCCAGAATACAATGCTGTTGTGGCGTTCGTTCCTAACCCATATTTCACTGCCAGTCCGACCCGTCGCTCGCGCAGTATACCGGCAGCCTAACTTACGGCCCCGCCTTCCTGACTGAGGGTCTAGTCCACCTTGGTGCATCCAGCACAACAAAGTCGTGCACGGCACATCCCGTCCGTCTCCTTTTCTTCTATTACGCTTCACGCGCACCTGGCCATGGACGAATGCATCCCGGGCCCTCGGGAACCAGAGTGCATGCTTTCGCACTGGTTCTGCCCATAGCCGCCCTCCAAGACGCTCACCATCTTGCCTCCGCAGCAGATATCTGCCACGCTTTGGATCTGCGCGACGGGCCACAGCAGCAGTGATGGTGTGCAGACACACCAAAGACTTGGGTCACACGCGCTCAAACCAACGGGGTCATGACGGAAAAGTCGGTCGATCGAGACTACGCAAGCGACGAGCGACCACATGCATGCAAATGGATGGACACAAAAAAACAAAAAACGCCAAAAGGAAGGATGGATGGAGAGAGATACGAAAAAAAAAAAAAAAATGGGATTTTGTTGGGGTTGGCCCCCTTCCTCCCTGCTGTGTGGCCCCCGACTATTAATAGTGGGTCCAAACTACTTTTGCCGACAGGCGATGTCAACACGCACGTACAAACATACACACGTACAGCCCGTGTACACGAAAAATGAAGACGGGCACAAACAAACACTTTACCCGGACGGGTGAAATCCCGACAGACTTTGTTCAAACCAAGGATACATACACATACCACATGCGCGAACAACCAAATCAAGACACGTCGACACAGCAGTAGATACAAAATCAAGCACCTTCTCTGTGGTCCAGAGGTAGTCCTCCGAGCTGAGGTCCAGCCCCTCCCGCGCCGCCCTTGCGCCCTGCTTGCAGTTCCCGACGTCCCCCTTCGCGGCATCGAACCCGGCGCTCAGCATGATCAGCTGAGGGTTGAAGGCTCGCAGGGCGGGCAGTAGCCTCCGCTGGATCGCCTGGGGACAACAACAATGACGACAAGGTTTGGGGTAATGTTGCTGCAGAAGAGAGGGGGACGTTGTACCGAGCTGTTAAAATCCTTGTCGAGGTGCATGATTAAGAAGATACGAGATCAAGATGCCTTGCGCGAAAGAAAACAAGTTGAGCAGGGGGGGGGGGGGGGGAGGGGGTACTCATAGTCGTGCATGCCGTAGTCGTTAGACCATTGACCTCGCATCCCTACAAAGCCGGGACGGAGCACGCCGGGTTCTCACCGGACCAGGCTCTCACATCACCAAGCGCGAAGCGCCGTGAGGTATTCGGCAAGTCGCATGAAGGGTGAGCTGCATCCTGCTAAGGGTGTTCGGCATCTTATGCTTACTTCCTTGCGAACGGATGACAGCTACGTATGACTTTTATTTTCTGGTGCTTTCACTTCCAGAGACAGTTGTAAGCACTGTGTAACTGCCTCGAGGATGCTTGACCATTTAAACACAAAGTGGTGCGATCATCCCCCTTGCGCGGAGCGAGGCTTCTCCACCCCGCACAACATGATCTACTCGACCACAATTATGGTTACCGCCAAAAAAAAAAACAGAGGAAAAAAAAAAAAAACGGTAACCTGGTTGCCGAGTTCACGAAGTGAATTGGCTTGTTTTACAACGTCGTTGCCAAGCGACGAAAACCCAATCCCGAAGGCAAACACCGAGGGGGGGGGCACCGAAGCCTACAGAAACACCAGGAATACCACCGCCAACAACATCGCCAACAACACCACCACCCACCTCGCGGTAGCAGAGGCGGCCCGCCCGAGGCGGAAGAATTTCCTGCTCCCCCGGGTTGTTCTCCAACCTAGCCTTCGACGAGGACGTCCGGCTGCGGGTGCCGTGCCCCCCCCCCCCTACCCCGCCCCTGCCGACCCCCCCCCTGTGCGCCATACCCATCGTCATGTCGTGCCTTGCTCTTCCAGAGGGGGTCCAGAGGCTCGTTGATGATGTTGCTCTGGAGGTCATCTTGGTCTCCGCTCCCGGGGAAGAACTCGTACATCGGACCCTTGGGGAACCAAGTTGCGCCAGAAACAAGACACGTACACACGTGTACGTGTACTACCCCATTATAAAGATAATGATGCCGATGACTCTTCATTGGTCAGCCAGAATTCGTACATTGGACCCTTGGGCAACAAGTTGAAGCAGAAACAATGACACACAAACGTTTACTATCCCACTAAACAGATGTTGATGCTGACGTCTTTTCATTGGTCAGCCAGTTAGCGTCAACAGATGATCATCAACACACACCCTACTTTTTGTGTGTGTCCGGCGTAAAATGACCGCAAAAACGAGGGGGGTAGTGTGTGAACGCACGCGTCATCAACAACAAACTCGAGGTGCAATGCGCCAGCTCTCCTCTTACCCGATCGAAGAGATGCACCGAGAAAAAGAACAGGCGGTTTGGGTCCGGGTAAGCACGGCAGATCTCCTCCGTGCCTGTGATTAAAAAAATAGACAGAAAAAAAAGGACAGAAAAACACGAGATAAGTTGGAGCAGGAGCGGAATCAGGCAACCACAACGAGGGCAACAACGACAACGGCAGCCAGCACCAACAACAAATGACAGCAGAGACAACTGTTGTTAACGATGGCGAACGAAACAAACACAAACAAGACACCCACAACTACAACAAACAACCCTCGCCGCAATCAGCAACCAACCAACAGCAACCAACAGGGGGTGCTGCATACATACATACATACATACATACATACATATGCATGTGTACATATTTACCCAACAGCTGACGTGACAGATGGACAGAATCAGTGCGTGGTCTTCTTACAGCCACAGGAAAAATCTGGGCACTGTGAGGAAGACCTTACAAATTAATCTATGTTTAGCATTTTTGTTTCACAAACATACAAACATACAATGCAAACATACAAACACCCCCGGCGTCCTCCTTCTGCTCACCATTCCCGTGGTGAACGTCGATGTCCACGATGGCCACCCTATCTAGGTGGTGGTGGCCGAGAGCGTGCATCGCGCCCACCGCCACGTTGTTGAAGATACAGAACCCGCAGCTCACCTACACTCCAAGAGGGGACAGGCAACACAACGTGGACGGAAAGGTTACGATGCTGGGGCGGACAAAGATGCAAGGCAAGACAAGACCAATAAAACAAGGAGACCAAAAAACATGGGCAGACCACGTGCACACCAAAAGGGAGGGCCCAACACAGCGGGATGCAACCGGGGCAAAATGTTAAGGGGGGGGGGGGGGGGGGGGGGTGTACTCATAGTCGTGCATGCCGTAGTCGTTAGACCATTGACCTCGCATCCCTACAAAGCCGGGACGGAGCACGCCGGGTTCTCACCGGACCAGGCTCTCACATCACCAAGCGCGAAGCGCCGTGAGGTATTCGGCGAGTCGCATGAAGGGTGAGCTGCATCCTGCTAAGGGTGTTCGGCATCTTGTGCTTACTTCGTTGCGTACGGATGACAGCTGCGCATGACTTAAATTTATTTTCTGGTGCTTTCACTTCCAGAGACAGTTGTAAGCACTGTGTAACTGCCTCGAGGAAGCTTGACCATTTTAACACAACGTGGTGCGATCATCCCCCGTTGCGCGGAGTGAGGTTTCTCGACCCCGCACAACATGATCTACTCGACCACCATTATGGTTACCGCCAAAAAAAAAAACGAGGTAAAAAAAAAAAAACGGTAACCTGGTTGCCGAGTTCACGAAGTGAATTGGCTTGTTTTACAACGTCGTTGCCAAGCGACGAAAACCCAATCCCGATGGCAAACACCGAGTGGGGGGCTTGTCTTACAACGTCGTTGCCAAGCGACGAAAACCCAAACCCCGATGGCAAACACCGGGGGGGGCGGCTTGTTTTACAACGTCGTTGCCAAGCGACGAAAACCCAACCCCGATGGCAAACACCGGGGGGGGGGGGGCATATTCCGGGGGGGGGGGGGAAAAAAAAAAAACCGAAAAAAATGGAAGGGAAAAAAAACCCAACAAGGGCAAAAAAACACGGGGACCAGGGGCAAAAGGCCCCCCCCCTAATGCCCCCCCCGTTGCTTGAATTCCAGCAAACCCCATTCCCACCCCCATGAACCCCCTACCCCGCCCGTGGGGACTCCCCACCCCCCCCCCGAAAACAAACACCCCGGAAAAAAAAAAAATACCCCCAAGGCCGCCCCCCTGCTGCCCCTTGCCCCCTGTGTATACAAAAACCCACCCCTCCCTTAATTTTCTCCCAACTCTTGCTACCTTATGGATGCCTCCCCCCCCTAAAAAAATCCTGTTAAAAAGGTGTGCCTACCCCCCCCCCCCCTCGAGTTCCCCCCGACC